CAGTATTACCTATCTGACGTCTTTCGAACACGCCATTGTTGCATCCCGCTATTACGTCTCTCTCACATTGTCAACTCGACTCGAAGTGGATTTGTGTCTAGGTTTTCACAAAAAAGTTAAAATATTATTAATATTATACTTTAAAATGCCTTCTTATTTTAAGTCAATCCAAGTAGAATTTATTCATATTGAATTTAGAAATATTTAATCTAATCTTTAGCTTTGTTATATTCTAGTAAATCATTTTAAATACCCGCAAGATTTATGTAATTTAGTTGTGGCCCTACTCAGGGTGGAATAAATAATGAATTACTGATAGTAACTGTTATCAAATCAGATAAAATATCAAATAAAATTTATTGTAGTACTCTCTTAAAATGAAATTCTATTTGAATTACTACCAGCATTGTTTACTAATAAAATAGTCGTTTTCACTTTTAATTTTGTACTATTTTAGTAGTTAAAGTTGGATTATTTAAGATAAGTCACCATCTTTGACTATTTCTGAGAGTAAAAAGAAACTAATTTTTTTAATCGTTTTTAATTCTTGCAGTCGCCAACAAATTATTGTAAGAGTTAAATGCATATAGGCTCCATGGTTAAATAGCCCTTAAAGATGCAAAAAGTTTAGCTCAAACCCTGGCTGGGTCAATATATTGTATAAAGTATAGCACAATCCACACAACAAGGTCTGTTCTTTAGCAGTTCGCGCAGACTGAAAATCACAAAATACTTGCCGCCATATTGTTTGTTTACGTTTTAAGCGGGTAGATTTTGATTTGGTTTAATTTTGTGCCTTATTTGCCTTAATACAGACTTATAAACGTTGTTAGGTGTTTGAACCAGTTCTTTAGTTGTTTATTTGTGTTTTGACTGTACTAGTGTACCTTTTTGAACCTCAATTGTGCAAATCTTGTATTTAACCAGTAAGTAAATTCTAGTTCTAAAATATTAGGACGTTTTTTATAACTCTTGGTATAAAAAGTAAAAAAAGGGCAAGTAAAAACCTTAAAAAAGTTTAAATTAACTGGTAAAATACATAAATATATATGTTTAATTTTGACAGATTAGAGGTTATAATTTGTTCCATAATTTGTTTCTATAATAAAGCATGAACAAACAAACTATAATTAATAATAATAATATATTAACTATAATTTCGGGGAATTTAAACTACCATAACGGCCGGTATCAAACTTCTATTTCGGGGATGACGTAGGTGCGCACAACTGCACCGATTTTGGTTTAAATTTTTAAGCTAAAGAACATACCTTGTTGTGTGGATTGTGAAGTATAGTATAGTCAATATATTGTATAAAGTATACTTTTTTAAATTTAAATCTCTAGATTTGACCCAGCCAGGGTTTGAGCTAAACTATACATTCAGTAAAATTTGACTAAATATTAGTCACTGGTTTTTTTGCTATGACAATTAGTCAAATATAATTTATAATTAGTTATTTTTTACTATATTATTTTAAGAGAGTAGTTGGTCAAATATGCTATTTTTTATAAATGAAATAGGTTTAATTTTATATTTGGGCTGGCACATTTTCACCCCGCATATTAGGTAGGTAACTTTTTTCCAATAATTCACAAACTTCTGCAATATATGTTAGTTTAAAGATATTATATGCAAATAAAAAGCATTTATATTCATCGTTCGAGTAAAAGCATTTTGCGTTCTAGATATATGAAATATTTGTGGGGCCAGTTTTAGTGGAGAAACATTTTAGCGTGAATTTTCCGCGGATTTTCGGCTAAAAGTGGAAGCCAGTTTCACCTGAAATCAGCTTTACGACTAGCGCGCCCTTATCCCCAAACATAAACCTCACGGATAACGGCGCAGTCCTTAATAGAAAAAAGTTCAGTTGCCTTAAAAATCAAATTACTAAGGAGGGTTACCTGATTTTTATTCAAATTTTTACCCGAGAGAAAATATTCCTAAATTAAATTTTAAGAGTTTCTTCTTAAAATTAGGACAAGATAAAATAATTACTAGCAATGATAAACAAAAACAGTAACAGCTTGGAATAACAATATCTAGAGAACGGCAAGCTTAAAATGACAAGAAAAAAAACAAAACAAAAATTTAAAATACTCTTAAATGATTTGGTATAAATTACAAACTTTTATGGTAGGTTAAATAATAATAACGAACTAAAATGACAATCCAGGCTAAAATAAATAACTAAATTGACAAATGCAATATAATATAACAACAAAATAAATTGACAAGTTTAAAATTTGATATTGAAATGATAAAATTTTAATTAAGCAAAAACTAAAATAATAACAAGCTTAAAGTACAATAAACTAAAATAAACATAAGCTAAATTGTCAACAAGCTAAAATGATGAAATTAATAAACTTTGCGTATCAAATGAGCAAAACCAAAAACTCTAACAATCTAAACTAACAACAAGCTTAAAGATATAAAAAAAATAGGAAAAAAACTCTACAGGATAACATATGATAGTTAATGCTTGATATACATAAATTATGGCTTCAGAAAAATTGTGCTAGAAAATGGGTGGGAGGTGGAGTCTCGAAACTTTTTGTAGCATGCATATAGTTTACCCTAGGGCGACCTTGCCTGCCACCCTGAACAAAATCCTGGCTACACCCTTGCTGGAAATGGGGCAAGAATCCCTGCTTTTCTAAAACTTTAAATTAAACCCAATGAAAAAAATTCGGCATGCCTTATACACTTTATTTTTTAAATAATTTATATTGAAAAATATATGTACACAAATTTTAAAAACAGTTACTTTTATAAAGCAAATTTTAAAATTTAATTGTCTAGTCCAGATTTTTTACCCTCTGTATTTTATTTTAAAAATAAAAATATTGTTTCAGAGCATATTTTTAATTATTTGTCAAATAAATATTACAAATAATAAAAACAATTTGAACCAAAAATATAAAAACATAATTTCATACACTGCCTGTTTTTGATTTCTAGCCAAAACATTTTTTATTTTCCCATAAAATGCCTTTTAAAATTGTATTATTGGCAAACTATTATAATATGTATATTCAATTTGAAATACTCATGTTGCCCTTTTGTACCTCCGTTTCATTTTCTTCTAAGTTTAATAGTATATTTCTGGGCCCAAAAATAAATAGAGTGTAAATTTCCTCTTAGAAAAAAAGTCCCCTCTACCTTGTTGAGACCTTTACCCAAAACTTACTGTTTCTATTTCTAAGAGCAAGTACATAATTTTAAAATTTAACATTCTTCAAAAGTATTTAAAAAATAAGACAAATATTTTTTAAACACAATTTTGGTTTTATTTTTTAATCTGTATTATTTATTAAATAGAATTTTTTTAATTATCTATAATATAGGTATTATATTAAAAAGTAAACATTTATGTTTTGAGTTTAAAAAAAAATCAATAAATATTTTTACCCTTGGAAGTTTAATATTAGGTGTAATTATTTTACAATGAAACTAAACATCTGTTGGTTAGTTTTTAAGAAGTAGCTATTTGATGTTTTAAATTAAGAAAAAACAAAAACATTGTTTGCGGATCTGGCGACAAGTTTTAAATTGTTTTTCATGCCGGTTATTCTGTTTAATAGATTATTATCAGTTTTCCTTTGTGTCTGAACTTTAAACGTATTCTCAAAATGGTATACTCCATTGAAGAAAGAACGGAAATTACTGCAATCTTTTATAGAAATAATAATTGTGCAAACGCAACGGCACGAATTTTTAATAATAGTCATCCCGAATCAAATGAGCAAAATCAAAAATAACATTTGGCTAAACTATCAACAAAATAGCGACAAGCTTTAATGATGACAACCTTAAATAGTATCAAACAAGAATGACGTCAAAATTTATCTTTTAATCTTTTAAAAACATATTCTTACTTTAAAATATATTTTATTTATACACAGTATAAAATTTCTGGTAAAAAACAACACCAAAAGTGGTCCACAGGTCCACACTAGAAATGGTATATCTAACCACATACAGTTTGGTAAATTTTACCCTTTTTAATTGCTTAAAAATCTACACGTACTATTCATACAAAAAACTCGTAACATTGTAAAAATCATGAAATATAATACACTCTTAGGGGTAAAAGCAACACACAATATTGGTAAAAGAACTCCATTCAAGAGTATAAAATCCTCAATTTCGTGTAATTTATTACACAGGTAGATGTTACGTGTGGGTGTTTAAATATTAAACACATCATGTAATGTAAAATAAAGTATATTTTATATTACTTACAAACTATTAGATATGAATACAAATAGGCTTTGGCAATAAATTTATTAAAAAAGAAAATAATTAACACTAGTTAGGTGTAAGTATTCTTATACCCAAGAAGTGTTAGTAATTTTTTTAATTGAATGAAAAGTACATATTAATATTTTAAGTTTTTTCCAGTTTGTGCAAAACCATATTTAGCTTATATAGGTATATAAGTTAAATATGATTTTTCACTACCTCAATATTACTAAATTTCATATTTTACTTAAAAATCACAGGAAAAAAAAAGTTGCCTCCACTGTCGCATTGCACCACCTCCCAAGACTACTGAATTTTAATTTAAAAACCACAAAATACTGATCGCGCCCTTGCCGTTAGCGAATGGTGATGACTACGTGTCTTTTTTTACCACAATTTGTGTATCTGTCAACAATGTAAACTGCTTCGAGTTTATCTTTAAATTAACACTTAGTCTAGATTGACACGGTGCTCTGTTAAATAAATTTAAATTAACAGGAATGAATTTTACCACAATTTTTAAATAAACACTAATTATTTTTGACCAATTTTAGTGTATAAATTAAAACCAAATGATTTTACCACTCCATTTGCTAACTTTATACCGAAATATTTTATACTGTGTATTCACTAATTAACTCCTTTTTAATGTGTATTTTAAAAATGGTAATATAAAGTAATTTTTTGTTTCAGACATAACGAAATAACTCAAATAAAAACTTCGAGGTCGTGAAAAACATTAAAAAATCAAATGCACAACACGAACGCGAAAATCGTGCGCGCGATCCCCGTAACCAATGACAACCGCACGACGGGCACCGAGCTCAACCGAAACAACTTCATCCTGCTGCGCGGCGCAAAGTCTTCGGAGAACGGCGGTCACATCCTACTGCGCACCGATCACCTCACCAAAAACGGCGGCGGTCTCGTGTTGGACGATGGCGACGGCAAGCTCGGCCAGATTTTCATCCAGCAGAACGACGTGACCAAAGGCGTTTTGGTGCAGTCGGTTAAAAGGCTGGGAGCCGGGACGCCCATTTTGCTTTTAAGCGGTCACGAGGGTGGCAACGGGCATATTTTGATACAGGCCGGGCCCGCAGACGAGATACAAACGGTCGGCGACATCGAGGAACCCAACGACATCCTGGTTCAAGCCTTGGAGGGGCTTAATGAAGGTGATGCTAGCAGCAGCAGAAGTCTATCGACTCCAATAGGTTCTGGTAAGTAATTTTTACTACTGTTCCATGCAAAGACCAACACGTTTTTGGTAATTATTATTACTAGAAAAGCGAGGGGTAAACCACTGATTTTTAAAAATTAAAAATCGCCTACGAATTAACGGCTAAGGATAACAATCACAAGGGTAGTAATGCGCAACGCGTAGCTAAGAGAAATTTCTTATTGATAAGGATTTTTTCTTATTGATAACGACTGATAAGTAAAAAATCAGAACACAACACGTTGCAACGTAGTCCACATTACGTTGAACATTGGTATCGTAGACAAATATAAAATTAAGTTATCTGCAAAGTGAATTTCAAAACAAAAGCATGCTAAAATAACAAGCTAAATTTAAAAAATAATGACAAGTTATATCATGTTTGATGAGCTTATTTTAGTCACAAATTTTAATTAATGAGTGTCTAGAAAAGTTTATAAACAAGTTGCATATTACACTTTTTATTGGGTGAAAAAATAATTTATTACGTACTAATTAATTTAAATATTTGTATAGAGCGACATACATAAATATAGGAACCAAATTGATGTAAGAATTCGGTTTTACCGGCTTTCAAAATGGCAAATTTGTGTGTAAAAATCGAAATTTATTCTTTAAAAATATGGTTTAAATCCGACATAGTAGCAGTTTTCACTGTAAAAGTAAAGAGGATGTTTATGGGTACTCCCACCAAAATTTGTTATGCTTTATCGGCCAAAACTAATTTACTGCCGGCAAAATCCAAAACAAACTTTTTAAAGATTGTATTGAATTTTTGTATTCAGATAAAATAATTTTCACATTTACTATTATTTTACTTTATTTGGACGATTGTATGACATATGACAAATAATTATCACCAAATTTTAATTTTACTTAAAAAATTTCCCTAACGCTCCTCACCTCGAGGCAAACGGTCGTGTTAGGCTCTCGTTTAACGCTTTTTTACTTTCATAGTACTATCACCGCTATCGGTGTTCAAATTCATAAAATCAAATCAAACGAAAACCAAGTGCAAGAAGGGTGTGAATGGTTGCACCTCCACCTGGATTATGCCCAGAGTGCCTTACTTGTAAAGAAGGGTGTAAGTAAACGAATATTTATCCTATTACCGAGACAGAAACAACGTGTGCTAATAGTGGGTGGTCAAGGTTGAGGAATAACTTTACCACATTGCTTAGGTGTCAATGCACCTGAGTCTAAGTCTTGATAAACCGGATAACCTAAATTGACCTTAATAATATCCAATACTAAATTTTAATGCGAAATTCGCAACCTCAACTAACAAAGAACTCCACCAGGTAAACATTAATATTCGCCCAGTTCCTATAAAAACAGCAAGCGTAGCCAAAGAACTCATAAACAACAGCTTACATAAATAGTCATAAATTAGTCAAGTTCAGACAAAACTAGTCAAAAGAATCTCGTACTAAAGAAATAAACATATGTAGAATGCAAAGCACATTTAAGGGGATCAACGTTATCGATAGTCAGCAAGCTCGGAATCCGACTCGGACGGACGCGGACAAAGATGAACAGAAAGTACTACAAGACCAGCATGGATAGATCCTAGCAGAGAAGTAACCAACCAAGCCCTGGGGTTATTTTATATACGTAAACCGCAACTGCGCAGCTTTACCTGTGTTCGATGGATCCAAATTTTCACCCCGGCTGGTAAATATCTCCTAGGAGGTCGTGGTCTATGAATTTTGTCGCTGCGGCGCGCCGGGCCGGGCCATACGCCCGATTTAGGACCGCGGGCCAGGAAGGGCAAACATTTTGGTTTTTAAGGGACACAAAACTAAGTACAATCCGATGGCCCTGGTTGAGGGGCCATCGGATTGTACTTAGTTTTAGACCACGACCTCCTAGGAGATATTTACCAGCCGGGGTGAAAATTTGGATCCATCGAACACAGGTAAAGCTGCGCAGTTGCGGTTTACGTATATATAAAATAACCCTTGGATACATGTAAGGCTTTGAAGATGGGGCCAGCCATACATTTCTTATATTCATACTCATACTTTAAAAAGTCCGTCTTTTCCATAAACCTATTAAAAAACTTACAATTTATAATAAAATATATTATAATGGTGAATACAAAAATATACGCCTATAATTCTCAACAATTTACTTGGGTATTTTAACCTTATAGAGCCTATTTTTTCAATAAACTGCAGATATCTAAACGGGTCTATAAAAAAAACCTTGTAAAATGCATATTAGGCAGGTAAATTGAGGCACGTTCGTGTGAGTAGCGGGCACATGGCAAAAGTGCAGCAATACATTCGAAAGAGACCATAGCTCATAAATCCCCACTCTGTCACTAGTGTCTTGCACGGCTTTCATGAGGAATTCAATTATTATTTCAACACGGAAACAGTTGAAAATAATACCGCATTCCTGCTTATTTATAACTCATAGCAGGAGGGTGCATTCGTACGTTTTTTCTTTCCTTTCGAGAAAATTTCCTGTAACCAAAAATACAACAAACCAACAATTTAAATTCAATTTATTCTTCAGGTAAGTAAGTACTAGAGAGGAAGGTCTCGTTACCTAGTCGCGTGTCTATCGCGAATTTATACGTTACTCCTTGTTGTCTACTTGGTTATGTAAGGCAATAAAAGTGAATTCGTAATTTGATTAAGGACTTTTTCTCATCACACGAATTTAACATTGATTCAGTTTTTGCACAATTATTAAGAAGCCATCAAGTACTTGAATACACACAGTAATTATAAGAAACAGTATTTTAATAATAAATAATAAAACTTTACCATACCAGCAGAGTTATTACTGTTTCTCGTAATTACTGGGTGATTTCATAATATGGAATCCATAAAAGTTTGGTTGTACAAATCTACTCTACCTGTTATAATAATATTTATGCACGATGACATTATAATATGACAATTATAACAAAAATTCTTTGTCGTAAACGTCTTTTTATAGCCCGCGGGCTTTATTATGGCCCAGCGGGCTATAATGAAACGTCAAAAATTAAAAACAACAATGTTACACCATTTGATATATTCGAAGTAAGTTTTTTCGTATAAAGATTTTGATTTTACCGGCAGCAGGCCGCAATTTTTCGCCTTTTCAGCTGCTTCCTCAATTTTATTTATCTTTAAACTTTAAAACTGACTGATGTCAGTTGACATTATAATATGACAATTATAACAAAAATTCTTTGACGTAAACGTCTTTAAAAACAATAATATATTAAAAATAATAATATATTAATCGTGCATAAAGTTTTGTATGCATTGCTGGCATAACTGGTTTTTATGGTCCTACGACGCTTTTCTAGCCCTCGCGCTAACGCGCTCGGGCTCGAAATAGCGCCTCGGACCATGAAAACCTTATTATGCCCTTAATACATAAATAACTATTATGCACGATGACCTTATAATATGACAATTATAACAAAAATTCTTTGACGTAAACGTCTTTTTATAGCCCGCGGGCGTTATTATGGCCCAGCGGGCTATAATGAAACGTCAAAAATTTAAAACAACAATGTTACACCATTTGATATATTCGAAGTAAGTTTTTTCGTATAAAGATTTTGATTTTTTCGGCAGCAGGCCGCAATTTTTCGCCTTTTCAGCTGCTTCCTCAATTTCATTCATCTTTAAACTTTAAAACTGACTGATGTCAGTTGACATTATAATATGACAATTATTACAAAAATTCTTTGACGTAAACGTCTTTAAAAAACAATAATATATTAAAAATAATAATATATTAATCGTGCATAAAGTTTTGTATGCATTGCTGGCATAACTGGTTTTTATGGTCCTACGACGCTTTTCTAGCCCTCGCGCTAACGCGCTCGGGCTCGAAATAGCGCCTCGGACCATAAAAACCTTATTATGCCCTTAATACATAAATAACTATTATGCACGATGACATTATAATATGACAATTATAACAAAAATTCTTTGACGTAAACGTCTTTTTATAGCCCGCGGGCGTTATTATGACCCAGAGGGCTATAATAAAACGTCAAAAATTAAAAACAACAATGTTACACCATTTGATATATTCGAAGTAAGTTTTTTCGTATAAAGATTTTGATTTTTCCGGCAGCAGACCGCAATTTTTCGCCTTTTCAGCTGCGTCCTCAATTTCATTTATCTTTAAACTTAAAACGTCGCTTTTCTAGCCCTCGCGCTAACGCGCTCGGGCTCGAAATAGCGCCTCGGACCATGAAAACCTTATTATGCCCTTAATACATAAATAATTATTATCTGAGATTTTAATTGAATAACTTTCAAGCAACTCATGCATTTTATAAAGGAAAATTATACCAAATACATGATTTGTTCTGCTTTTACTCATGTCGGGAAAAACAAAGAGCCCAATATTAGCCCAATTTTACACTACTTTGGCCCAAGCTTTGAAGCCAGACCAAAGCTTGGGAGCCAAGGCTTGATCTTAAAAGTCTGGCTGAAGCTTGTTAAGAGACTTGGGAGCCAAAACTTGGTCTTAAAAGTCTGGCTAAAGTTTGGTCAGAGATTTGGAAGCCAAGACTCGGTCTTGAAAGTCTGGCTGAAGCTTGGTCAGAGACGACCAATATATCTAATACGAGAGAAGGCTGCCCAACGTATAGCCAAGCTTGGCCCCGTTGTCAGTCTTGACATTTCCTACGTGGGTAATAAAACGTTGTCCTTGACAAACTTAACAGAAACTATCCAATGCACTCTAGGTGACGCATCGTTCCTATAGTTTTCAAAATCTTGGAATGCTTTAAAAAGAATCTTAATTATCTGAGATAAGATAAGATTTAGAAGATAAGGCTTTTCCACCATCTTGGGTTAAGGAGTAAATTCGCGTATAATTGCTGTATTTTTGAATTTATCGGAAAAATTACCGTTTTGCCAAGAAAAATTAGTTTACAAATTTGTATCCTAGATATTTTTGGATTTTTGCATATTTAACGGATACCCGATTATTTAATACAAAAGTAGTTGACATTTTTAAACTCGTTAAATTTGT